TAAGGTATTGGGCAGGCAAGATGTTATTACCAATTGTCAGATCCCAGAGGACACACAGACACCTCCGGACAGAGCCAAAATTAGCATCCAGATTGGCTGGGGACACACAGAGCTAAGTCAACTACCCCAGGGATAGCTGGTTGGGCAGAGAGGCAGAGCAGGGAGTGGCACATGCACCTGATCAGGTGGCCCATCTATCCAGTGTTGGTCATCACCCCTAAGCCTGTCCACCTTGATGTCTGCCATAGGCAGCTTCATTCTCAGTGATCTAGGAAAGCCCACATTTCACTTTAAGCTCAGGTTTCTCATTCACACAGGTCACACTCAGAGCAATAAATTCTTTAAAGACTAAACATGTTCATTCCTCCCATCTGCTGAGAGTGTTGGCTGCTAAAAGCTCACAATTGAATCGCTCTCCCTTGGACAAAGAGCTGACTCATTCAAGATTACTTTTCCTTTCTGAGTGTAGCTCTTACCCAATAACCACTCTAAGTACAAATACAAAGACCTGAACCTCTCTCTTTTGAAGCAATACTGAAGGACCATCTCAGCCCAAGAGCAGCCCCATGGAATCAGCTCAGGCAGCTGGGGTTACAGGATCAGTTTAACTTTTTTGTATTTTCTGTCCTGTTTCCCTCACTCCCTGACAGATGTCACTCCAAAGTATACTTCACAATAAGATTCCTGCATGCAAATCTCTGCCTCAATGTCTGTTTCTAGAGGATCCAACCTAAGTTAATACCACCTGTCTCAGGTGACTTAAGCTTTCTGCCTCTCTTCTGAGAGACTGTGACAGGCCCATGAATATCAACCCCAATATCATGGCAAGTATGGGGAAAATACTGATTCTCAGAGTTCCTAATGAGATGGCTAAGACCTCCTTTATAATATCTCCCCAATATCAAGCAGACCCTTCCCTTGATCCACCTCTGATACAGCACTTATGGTCCACCTCAGTGGCCACATTCTCCTTTGGAATAATGCTTCAGTTGCAGTCTTTCCATTCATCCAGCCAACATGTATTTAATTCATAGCTAGTGCAAAGCCTCATTTATTCATTAAGTCATTCAATATGTATTAAATATCTACCAGATCCATATACACTACTAGATGTGAAACAAAACAAATAATATGATAACTCTTGTCATCATGGCTCATGACAGAGTATACATTATATACGTGATCACAGAAACCTAGTAACAGTTACAAGGGTTATAAATTAAAACTACAGTATGACAATCATATAATACTCTTACTATGTGAACTTCTAATTCTAGGGAGTGCAGAAAAGCCCCCCCTAACTCAAGTTAGTGACCATAAGAATGGGTTAAAAGTGAAGGGAAGTATGGGAGTATGCTCAGGATACAGAATTTCTGAGGTGAGAAGGAAGGGAGCTTGGTTTTGTCAAAGACTTGAAAGAATCATGAAATTTGGGATGTAGTACTCAGGAACTGAGCCTGGTTCATAAGCAGAAACCATAGTAGTATTTTTAGTTCATGTTAAAGAACAGTGGAAAGTGGAGATACTGAAGATTCCAAGCACAAGTTTGAGACACGATCAGAACCTCAGTATCATGCTAGGAATACATATAGGAAGAGGTAAAGTACAGATGCTAGGAGATGTGTTAGAGACACAGTGATCTCCAGAGAGGTTCAAGGATATGTTGTGAAAATGGGCAAATGAGGTAGGGATATTTGGAAGAAAGAAATCAAGAATATGAAAACAGAGTGTTCAATGGGTCATTCGCATGATTCCTGAAGTCTCACACCAGGGTAATGGGAGGCCAAAAATAGGGAAGACATTAACTTAGTCATCATTTAATGAAGAAGAGCAACAAGGAGAGACACCAGTACCAAAGAGTGGTAGAGAATGATCTGTATGAATGACATGAACAGCAAAAGCACTAGTCCATGCTTGTTTGCTAGTCTGTTTTTCCAGGGGGAAAATCCTAAAAATTGCTTTGGGGAACAAGAACAGTGAACATACTACCAAACAAGAGTATGACAAGTGTGAGAAAATGTAATGTCCTCACTTAGTAGAAGTATAAAATTTTTGTCAGAAAAAAATGGATATAATGAGAGAACCAGCTTCATATACATTTTGTAAAAATTAAATGAGAGACTTTATGAGCAAAGATTTTTTTCTCAATGGTTCAAGGTACCATGCAGTAAGAGCTGAACAACAGTACCTGCTCATATCATCAAGATTTTATACTAATACAACATATTCATATGAATATTGTTTAAAATGAGTTTAGTCAAAGCACATAGAAACTCTACACTCATTGGTAATAAATGTCATTCATCCTCTTCCTCTGCAATCCTATAGCTACTGTGCATCTCCAGCAGCCCTTTCTTCCACTCCTGCCCATGAAGCAAAGTCATTTTTTATAGTGGTAAAATATATTTAACATAACATTTATCATTTTAACCATTTTTAGTTACAAATTCAGTGCCATTAGGTACATTCACAATACTGTATAGCCATCACCAATATCTATTTCCAGAATTTTTCCATCATCCCAAACAGGAGCTCTGTACCTGTTAAACAATCTCCATCCCTCTCTCCTCTAAGCCTTTGGCAACCTCTATGCTACTTATATCTCTATGAATTTGCCTATTCTAGGTACTTAATATAAGAGGAATCATACAATATTTGTTATTTTGTGTTTGGCTTATTTCACTTAGCATAACGTTTAAGGTTCATCCATGTTGTAAGCATGTGTTAGAAATTTGTTCCTTTTAAGACTGAACACTGATGTGTGTATACTACATTTTTGTTAATCCATTCATTAGCCAATAAACACATAGGTTGTTTTCACCTTTAAGCTACTGTGAACAATGCTTCTGTGCTATCTTCTTAGTAATAATATTGAAGATTAATATTTGACTGAGGAAACATGGGACCATTGAGTATGGCATAGAGCAGAAGCCACTTAGGAAAGACTGAAGCAGACTCCCTTTACAGACCATAAGTTTAGCCCTAACCCTCCATCTACCCACTCGACAACTCAGGCCCATACTCTTCTAAACCCTGGTGATTCATAGCATCTCTAACCTGACCCAACCTATGTCCTTTTCTTGCCCCTCACTTCCCATTGAGAACTAATGTCCCTTTCTTGCCCCTCACTTCCCATTGAGAACTAATCTGTGACTTGGAACCAACATCCACTGCAGCACTGTCACATTTTATCATACTTCCTATATTTTCAAGTTTATTTCATCATCACACCAAGAGCCTGGTAAATACTAAGCATGAGGAAGACAATAATGAAGAAAAGAAGAGAATAATGAAGAAATAAAGATAAGGAGGAAAACAAATTCTATTTTTCTGCTTGTTCTGTGTTTATACACAGCAGTGAGGTTGCCTTATTAAGAATAATCACATTCTCCAGTGTACCTGCACAGTGTCCAAAATATCACAAGTTAAAATTTTTAAAAAATGAAATAACATTTGAAACTTAAGGTAGTGTTCATCATAGTGATAGCAATAAAGACATTAGTGTTAAGAGTGATTGTGACTGCAAAAAAAAGCAATTATGATTTCAATGCTAGTTTTGTGACAACTTATTTCATTTCTTCAGTAAAAAGTTACTGAGTGCCTACTGTGCCACACTTTGAGATTAATGTACTCATTTAATCCAAAATACACATATGTCAATACGACTAATGAAGAAACATGCTAGTAATGATATAATCCATTAAAATAATAAAATTCATTTATTGAGAAACCATTTATTGAGTGCCTATCATATGAGTACTATGTTAAGGATACAATGCAATTCACCATTTAGTAGAGATGGGGGACAAAGATCATTAAACCAATTATTATATATTTATTTAATATATATTTAATTAAGATATGTTTAATTAATATATAATTAATATGTATATATTTAATTAAATATACATATATTTAATTATGATGGATAATTAAAGAAAGATACATGGAGCTCTGAGTTCATAAAGTGACCTGATCTATCTTATAAAACCTTCTTCAAAGAGGTGAGGTTTAGACTGAAGCTCAAGATGAGTAGGAATAACAAGGATAAAGACAGGGAGGTGCACTCCCAATAGCAAGAGCCCAGACTACCCATGGCTGGAGGAAGCATGGACACTTGGGGAACTAAAGAAGGAGACTTATGTATATTACATAACATACCACCAACACTACATATGTTGCAAGGATACATAAATACTTAGGAACATACAACAAACACATTAAAGTGAGTGCCAATAGTAGGAACTGGAAGAGAATGGCCCAAAGAATTAGGAATCAAGACAGAAAATAAAGAATTAGAACAATAATTATTGTGTGAAATAAACTTTAACTCAAGGCTCTGCACCTAAGACTAAAAATGAAGAAATAAAAGAACAATTATCATTATTCTCAGAACTTAAAAATACATGATACTACAGGAGTCATAGAGGGCCATCCATCTCAAAAACAGAATCAAAGCACGTGAACTAAAGCACTTCTAGAATCAGATGGAACATGAATATTTTTTAAAAAGTTTCTCTCATTAACCTGAAACTCTAAAGAATCTCCATAGTTTGTCACCTTTATTTCCATGATGCCAAAATTTTACCCACAGACTGCCTGTGTCAGTGTCATGGTGGGAAGTGGCCCATGTTCTCATATGTACAAATAGGCTTCCAGTTCATCTCTCCCTAATCTCCTAAGTTACTTGTTCCAGGTCCATAGATACCTTAATTATTTCTTAATTCCTTGATTCATTTATCTTCTCAACACAAGTAAATCACAAACTCTTAGAATAAAGACATATCCAAAAAATTACTTTCTTGAGATACCCCTGTCTTCCATCCCAATATCTAAACACTATATAGACTTCAGAAGAGATTTCCCAACTTTCAAACACTCAAGAAAACTTCATTTTTCTCTTGAATGTCCCCACCAAGTAAATGAACTAGGCTGTGGGGCTCCCACTCCAAAGGGGAAGACCACCGTTGCCCCTGATGTCCAGTTCATGAGAACTGCACTCAGGTGGGATCAATCTGCTTGGGCCTCAGCATTTTAAGCAGCTGCTCCCGGATCTGCTTGGTCTTGACCCCATAGACAATGGGGTCCAGTGCAGGGGGAAAGAGCAAGTAGAGATTGGCAATGATGACCTTAGCAGCAGAGGCTGTGGGTGGGCCAAAGCGCTGCATGACTACAGAAAGAAAGCCTGGTCCATAGAAGAAGAGGATGACACAGACATGAGCTGTACATGTGCTGCCAGCTTTAGCACGTGCCTCAGGTGAAGGAAAATGAATCACGGTCCTCACAATCTTCCCATAAGAGTAGGCAATAAAGGCCATATCCCCCACACCAAGAAAGATTGCCACAGCAAAGGCATAGAGGTTATCCACAGTGGTGGCCCCACAGGCCAGCTTCACTACTGCCATATGCTCACAGTAGGTATAGGCAATCGTGTGAGAGCCACAGTAGGACAGCCGATGGGCCAAGCTTGGAAAGGAGATGGTCAATCCCACACCTCGCAGCACTACCAGGCCTCCAATCTTGGCAACAACAACCGGGGTAAGAATGGTTGCATAATGTAGTGGGTTACATATGGCCACGAAGCGGTCCACAGCCATGGCCACCAGCACTCCTGACTCCATAGCAGAGAATGCATGGATGAAGAACATCTGGGAAAGACAGGAGTGGGAGCTGATAGCTGTAGCACCAAACCAGAAGATGGCCAGCATCTTGGGCAGAGTAGAGAGGGAGAGAACCAGGTCAACAAAGGAGAGCATAGCAAGAAAGAAAAACATGGGCTGGTGAAGGCTGTGCTCTGTCCGGATGAGAAAAAGCAGGACACCATTCCCAGTCACTGCCAGGAAGAACATAAAGCAAAAGGGAAGTGAGATCCAAATGTGGGCAGCAGTCAGTCCTGGGATGCCAGCCAAGAAGAAGGTATGTGGGAAGTGATGAGAATTATTGGAAAGAATTATGGTGATCATCTCACTTAGAAGCGTGAAGGGCTACTAGAAAGAAAGGAAGCAGGTTAAAGTCAGTGATGTGGAGATTGGGAGCTCAAGATCTATGGTCTCACTAACAGCACTAGCACCATCACTCTTCCCCCATTGGTCTCAGTAAACAGTCAAAAATGATTTTCAGCTTAACTAATATTTCTGCAAGAACCTCAAAAACAGAGGAGGCAAATTAGTTTGGTCCAGTGGGAAATGTGTTGGACAAGAAGTTCAGAAACCAGTTTCCAGAATTTGATATCCTAGTATATCTATGACCTGGAGCAAATGACATAACCAGGTTTAAGCAGATGCCCAGGAATTAATGTTAAATAAAAACCCTTCCCATCAAGCTCACATTCCCAAGTTCTGAATATTGGCACTGGATTTAATCAGGGCTGACCTTACACATTCCTTAAGTCTTATACCACTAACCTTCATCTGAAACTGCCAAAAATCCCAACACCTGGAAACTTTCTTAATTTGGAGATCCCTCACTCCTCCAAACTTCACTTGACTCCCAGGTTACAGAATAAATGGTCCCTGATGACTCCAACATTGATTAGGTTCTTCCTTGGATTATTCCCCAACCATTTCACAAATGAATGTTTTGTTTTTCTCCTCAGTATCTCGTCCTGTAGCTCCCTCTCCTTTAAGTGGTGGTGTACAGAGGTAGACACAAAGTTCAGAGCTGTAGTGACCTGGAAAAAAACAGAAGCTCTTGGTAATAACTGTCATGTGAAAGCCAAAGAATTCTAAATTGCGCCAAATTATTGAGAACGGAAGAAAAAACGGGCATCCCCTCCAGTTCTATTTATCACATAACTATAAAAAGTGTACAAAATTATTCAGATCTGCAATATATCCTGTGCCAAATACTATTGTTTTTTAGGTTAGAAAACTGCGGTCTAGAAAGAAGCAAATGGCCAAGGGTCACAGATCTATTTAGTGACAGAATCAGGCAAGGCCTCACATCCACCAATCCCTGATCCCTGAGCTAGAAGGTCATCACCCTGTCTCTGTGTTAGCAGTGACTTCTCCAGGGCCAAGGAAGAACACCCAGGACTGGGTGGCCACGGGTGAGCAGTAGAGCAATCAAATATCGGGGCAGATAAGGAATTATTTAGGGAGTACGTGTCTCTGTAACACCCCTTAATACCTCCAGTGCCACGATTCTCTCATGTGAAAGAAAAAACACAAGGACACACAGAGGCCTGGGTCTGGGGTCAGAGAGGGCTTTGGAGCATAAGATAAGTGATTCACGTTCCAGACAGAAAAGATGCAGCTGGATTGATCTCACAGTTTCAGTGACAGCAGCAAGTGGTCTATAAGCATGAGGGAAAGAAGCAGAAGTCAGCACAGGAACATAATCCAAGAAAGAAGAAACAGCACAGATTAAAATGGCCAAGAACATTTGCTTTTTTCTCCAAGAGAAACCACATGATTATTGCCCATACCTTTACCACAGCCACTGAGGAAACTATGTAACCTCAGGAGAAGGCATGAGGGCTGGGAAGATGGGAGATTACAGTACACCTATAGTTTTAGTGCCATGTAATAAACTCTGGACCAGAAGTCAAGGTCCTGATCTGAGGTACTATTTCTGCCATATGTCAGCTTTGTGACCTTAAGCAAAGCTAACCATTTTCAAGCCTTAGTTTCCTTACATGTGAAATGAATAAATTAAAACCTACCTCACAGGATCATTGTGAAAATTCAATGAGATATTATATGTGAAAATCTTTTGTCAAAATCTGAAAATAGTAACATTATTTCACTGAATTATAAGAAATAAACAATTCATTTGGAGGAATCTGGTTAAGAGCAACAGAAACTTCAGTGATTCAGAGACAATGCATTTGATTTGACAAAGAATGGTATGTTCATCCCATGGGTGGATGTTGTGTAGTAGTAATCCAGAGACACTTAGTCAAAAATACCATATCCTCCCCAACATGGCTCCTTTATTCCCTCCTAACCACAGGCTATTCCCCTCAGCACCCTCAAGGAATGATGCTGTGTGTGTTGGTAGTGGGGGAGGAAGGGGTTGGCTGGTGTCAAGAAATGTGGTTCTGACCTCCTGAGCATCTGCTTCAAATAATTCTCAAAATTGCCCATCCTTAAGCCTCAGCCCACCTTGTGGAACCTAACAGTATCTTCAGAACAGTTTAAGAAATAATTACCTCTGATCTCCCAACTGTCTCCTGAGGACCCAGCAAATGTCCCTCATTATAACCTTGTGCCTCAAGGAAAAGTCTGACCCAGTAAGCTCAGCTCCTTTACTTCCATCAGGAAACAGGGTTAAGGGAGGTAAGGGGTCCTGGAACCAGAAGAATCCAGGACACATACTGAGGTGCCTCCATAATGTTTCCTTATGACTCACTGAAAGAGGAACATATTTATATAGCTTATTATTGAGCCAGGATTGGAAAGATGTTTGCCTACTTGGAAGAAAGTAATCCTAATATACCTGATCCCTCTCTTGCTTATATCCATATAATACAAAAGGCCCAGATAGACTTCTGATGATGTACACATCATCAATATTGGTGATATTTCCAATTTTCTTCAGTGATACCAAGACCATGCATTTCCACCCCAGACAGCCTATCAGATTATGCAGATCTGGAAATGTTGGGGGGAAGCTAATTTGTGGATGAAGTCTGTATGTATCTCTTTTCCTTGGGCCTACCCCTGGCCATTACTCACCAAAGATCTGTACTGTTTAACCTACAAAAGGATGAGAAAAAGTTAAGTTACCAGTCAAATCCCAAGAACAGGGTATTTAATGGGCACCTTTTCAGGCATTGCCTGTAGGGATCCAAAATGAAGTTCCCACCAACCAGACACCAATTAGCACTTCTGCCTCTTCTTCAAACAAAGATTTAACAAGGCCTCTTCCTCTTATTGGGACCCCAGGGAACAGGCCCAGCAGGGAATATTTTGAACCGCATACTCCAGGGTGTCATGTCAAGAGAGGGCCAAGGCCCTGCAGCCAGAAGCAAGGTGTGGCTTCCTCCCATAGGGAAGGGGACCACCTGGTTTGATGAAAAAGCAATATCTGATCTAGGGAGAATGAGGAAGAAGGCAGGGAGATTGGAGGTGTGTGGGGGGCGGTGGGCAACACCAGGACCAACATACAACATTACCTAGATGACCCCTCCATGACATAGGTGGAACCATGAGAGAAAGAATGGATTAAAGGTATAAGCTTTTATGAGAAAAGAGAACCTGGCCCAGGAATAAGAGTGAAGAAAATGTCAAGTGCCTGAACTCAAAACAGTAGGTACAAAGGTAGACCAAGTCTTGTAGGTATTTCCATCCATACATTATGTCACCTTAAGTGAAACTACCTACAATTCTCTCCATTCTTAACCAATCTCTCTACATTTGACTCTCATCTCATCCACCAAAATCACTCCTGAAAATGGTGCCAGATTAATCTGTGGAGGATGTTCAATAGTATGAAGGATCTGGACATTGCCTTAGATTGAGAGAGTTTTGAAAAATTGAGTGTGTACAGCTTACACAAGAGAACACTTGTGGTGGCATGCATGATTTTTAATGGGTTCTTCAAGTCCAGGAAGAAACTCCCTATGAGAGAAAATTATTTGTTTTATGAAGCCAAAGGAAAAAAACAAGAACAAACTCATTCAAATTTATGGTTCAGAACTCAGCAAGACCTTTGTGTCTTCAGAATGATAAACCTTATCAGAAAAACAGAGGTATACACAGGGTATATTGGAAAGGAACAGCACAAGGTTTACAGGAAGATTCAGTATGCAAAATCAGGTCATCCATTTCTGACAGCCATGCTCTAAGGGTACTATCCAGTTCCAGAGGGGAAAAGAAGACATAGCAGGTGTCATTTCAGGTACAGCCAGGATTATGAACCCTAACATGAAGCATTCAGTTTTCTAACAGAGAAGTCAAGCTGGGTAACAGTGAGCTTACAATAGATGACGCTATGATGTCTCTGAAACTGTAGAGAGATGTATTATGAAGTAGAAAATATCAGCACAGAACCCTAGTGGAGGAGGAGGGAGTAGGCAGGACAAGTAGCAAGAGCAATACAAAGTTCAGTCTAAGAGGCACTGGTAACAAACACAGGAACTTCAGTCCAGGAAATAAACAAAAGTCTCAGAACTAGAAATCTAGATTAGTGTGAATATGGACTGCCTGACTGAAACTCTGAACCCTCACCTTGCAAAAAACATCAAGAGACTGGAATTGTCCGAAGATCCAAAAATAGTCAAGGGATCGGAATCAATAATTTGGATCAAAAAATATATTTCCTGGGTTCCTCTTAAACTTTAAACCCCTTTTAAACAGGGTCAGGTGGAAGATACACATCAAACTAAGGCAAAGCATGACCAAAGGCAAAGCAGAGGCATATGCAAGGATCTGTAGCCACACCACGGAGAGATGGAAAAACCATGGAGAGAGAGCATCTGATTATGCCTGTGGGGATCACAGAAGGCTTCACAAATGAGGCAACATGAGAGAGGAAAGTTGAATAATGGAACAGAATGTTCCAGAATGACTCACTAGCACTAAAAGGAACTCCAAACTCATAAAGTACAGAATTCTTGATGGAAAGCTAAAAAGAGATCCATATTAATGAAGCAGTACAGAGGGATGAGATTTGAGAGGAAGGTTGGCCCCAGACTGTGGCAGGTCTTAAGTGCTCTTCTAGATGGCACTACATGTTAATAAGAGGTCAAGGAACTTGTTTAAGCACAGCAATGACACAGATAGATTAGTGCTTTAATAGATTTCTTTCATAGTGTTCTGGGCATAGGAAGATGATGTGATAATAGAGTGAAGTAAGCATTAGATCAAGTCTTTACTGGAAAATTCTATCAAATATTTAAGAAAGAAACAATGACAATCCTTACAATAGAAATAATAATGCAAACTTTTAGAAAACAGAGGAAAAAGGAACACTTTCCAATCCATCTTACAAGGCCAGTATTAATCTGATGACGAAATCATATAGACAGTACAAGATAGGAAAATCCAAACCAAAGTCCCTCATGAGC